AGGTATGATGCCAGGCTAGTGATCTGGAGATCGTGGGTTTGAGTCCCACCCGAGAACAACTTGCGATTTTTTTCGCAGTTGTTTTCAAATGTACTGAGTATTCGGTACATTTCCACGTCAGGTAGGGCAAAAATGACACCTATACATGTTTCTCCTGACGCAAATCCAGTTATTGTCTATTCCATCACGACAATAACAATTACTATCAATTCTGGATTTGTATAGCAAAACACTATTATTGAATTACAGTCACACCTTAAATGCTCGACTGATTTTGAAACCACAGTCTTACTCCAAATGGTTGCAGAGGTTGCATTTAATGTCATTGAGTAACAGATCTCAATTTCGAAACTTCAGTTGCTTGTAAACTTTCTATTAATTTAAGGCATGTAGATGATTTGGTTTTCATCATTTATTGGGACGTACAGATTCATATCATAATAATGCTATTATTTCTTTTCCCAGAATTTGATCAGCTTTACCTATCTCAGTTAGAGATTCTTGATCAATGATTCTTTTAAAATGTTTAAATTTAATTTGCGATCTCATTTTTTTGCGAAATACAATAGAATAGTAATTGTGCAATAACATGATAAGTAAAATTAGTACTTTTATAATTGATAATGTAATAAAATTTAAATAAAAAAATAAATGAAATGTACTGTTAAATGAAAATGAATTTTTAATTTAAATGATATTGTGCAATATCTTTTCAGAAATTAATATTTTTATAATTCATAATTTAAGTTCTAGTTTGGACAGCCACATATTTTGATGACAGTGTTTTCACATTTGCCTGCCCTGGTATCTCTAGCATTGATCTTTCTTTTCTTTTTTCTTTTTTTTTTTTGATACAGTAATTTGTTTAGGATTGTGGTAGGTGTTTGTATTTGGAAATTGTATGTTTTTATATACACTGATACTGAATAAATGTAATCGAATAAATGTAATAATATAACAATAATATTATAAATGACATTATAGTGATTTGTAACTGGATAAATATGTTGAAACCATACTTGCTATAGTCAAATGAGTAAGAACTACAAAAAAAAGTGCATGGCAGTTAAATTATTAAGGGAAAATGTTTCATTAAAAGTTGTAATCAGTGATAAGATAAACAAAAAATCAATACATTTTGGGTGTCTTTATTTAGACTTTTTATATTAAAAGTATTATAAAGCAAGTACACCTGACAACAGCATGTTAAATTTCCATTAATATATAAGTATTGTACTGTCCATCAGATGAATATTATGGTATATATATATTTTTACATTAATTATTTTAACATATTTATAAGTTTTGATTCAATCTGTGGAAAGTTTTTCTCCTTCCAACATTTTAAAAATTGGTGTGCATTTTCTTCAGTTTTATTGTTTTTAAACTTTATTGGCCTATATAATAATCTATTGATTTTATTTCATTTCTGACATTGTTGTACCTTCTTTCTCAAAGGATTTTGAACACTTTATATCAAAGAACCCCATTGAGAATATTCTGTGGTTCATTAATGATATTTATGGGCTATTTTTATTATATTATAAACAGTCTTTTTGCTATTAATTTGAAGTAACTAAGAAGAGTGTCATGTTTGTTTTTGTATTGTTTGTATGTTCAAATAATGTTGTTATATACCAAATAAATTTAATTAAATTTATCACAGTATCATTATCTAATAAGATACTGTAATTGTTCAAAACAATTCTAAATACCTGTGTTACAATACAAGAAAATGTATAAACCATTACAGTAAACAAATGATTTATGATAAACAGTTATTTTGTATAAAAGTACCATAAATCCTTGTGTATACAGGATTTATCAAGGGTACATGGTCTTTAAACAAAGCTGATTCGCCAATTATTTCATAAAATATGAATATTCACATGTATTATGTAAAAAGTGAAGCAATATTATTCAAAAAGGAAATCAATATCTACTATCTATGTTGTCTTTATAGATGTCTCAGTATGTATCGAAAGCATTGCAGTTTATGGATAAAAAAGATCTGGAATGTGCCATCTGCCTCAACAGGTTTCACCAACCAAAGACACTGAAATGCATGCACACCTATTGCCTACAGTGTATCCAGAAATGGGTGGAAACTCATGGAAAGATGAAATGCCCAACGTGTGGACAAGAACATGAACTAACGAAATATGATTTAAAAGATCTTGCTGCAAATACAATGATAAGTCAACTACTAGAGTATGTCATGAAAACTGAGGATCAAAAACCAGCTAAATGTTCTTGCTGTGACATTCATCAACCAGAATACCACTGCCAAACATGTCAACTGTATTTATGTGGAACGCCATGTATCAAACAACACCAGATAATACCTGCATTGAGGAACCATTCACTTTACACACTAGACAAGAAGGAACAAGAGAGCAGTTCAGAGGAACAAACCAAATGTAAAGTTCATTGCAACAACATACTGGAGTTTTTCTGCTCCACTTGTAACAAATCAGCATGTAAGCATTGTGAAAACATCCTTCGCTGTTATCAAAAAGAACATAAAGTGATTCCATTGTCAACTGCTATTAATGAGTTCAACAATGATGCCACTGAAATTGTCAAGGTAGCACATGAAATTAAAAATAAATTAAAAGAAAAACTAGAATTTGTAACTAAAGATAAATCAGAATTTGATTCTCAACTAAAGTTATGCAGAACAACCATAAAAATTCAGGAAAAAAAAATAATTAAAACAGTTACAGAGAAAAGCAAAGAATTAATGTCAGACCTTGAAGAGATATACAATGAGAAAAAAGAAGACACTGACAGTAAAGTTCAAGATATTGATTCAAAGATGACTCAAATAAACAATCTGATGGCCTCAGTCAATACAATTATGAACAAACCAGAAGAAACAGAAACTCTTCAATTACATACGACAACTATCAATACTGTTAAAGACAAAGTCCTAGGAAATGATTTTGATCAATCATTTAAGAACAAAAATATTGCACCAAATTTCATTCCATCTACGCAACTGGATCAATTGATGGTTGTAGACGGCATTGGTAAAATTGTTGATAGCAGAATGTGCAAGGTTGCTAAAGATGATGAAGCTATTGCTGTCACAAAAGAACAACCGTTTGTAGTTAAAGTTTCAAGTCCTTCTATGAGTGATTCTTGTCATTTAACTGTTACTCTAATCAATGCATCAGGTGAAGAATCAGCTACAGAGATAGAATATAACAAGAATGGAGAGTACAAAATAACAGGTAGATGCAATGTGGAAGGTGATTGGCATATGAAGATCACCACTGGAGGTGCACACATCAAAGGATCTCCAGTGAATATCAAGGTGGAATCACTGGGACTTGTCCATACCTTTGGTAACATATCAGAATATAAAGAACATTGCAAAATGAAAAAAGTGAGAGATGTAGTATTAGATACAGATGGATGCATATTAGTTTCAAGCTACAGTCGAGAAATATTAAAGTTCAGTCAGTTGGGTTTGTTTGTTGCTAGGATACAGATGCCACAAGATGTGATAGTCAATAGAATGCATCTAATGGGTGATGGTCACATGGTGTACAGTAATGAGAAAGAAAAATGTGTTGTAATGTGTGATAATAAATTTAAAGAAATTATCTCATTTGGTAAAGGAGTATTGAAAAACCCTAATGGTTTAACAGTAAATAAGGCAACTAGAGTTCTGTACGTAGCAGATCGTGAAGCTCACTGTGTGTTTAAATTCAATGTTGATGATGGTAGACTGCTGGGTAAGATAGGTTCAGAGGGCAGTGAAGTAGGTCAAATGAATGAACCATATGATGTCACTTTAAATAATGAAGGTTGTGTAATTGTTGCTGACTTTAGAAATCACAGAATACAAATGTTTGATGCAAATGGTAAGTTCATGAGAATCCTTATAGGCTATAGTAAAAAAGATGGTAAAGTTTTGGGTCCTTGTGGTGTAATTATAGATATGGATGAGAATATAATAGTATCAAGTAATCATAAACTACAATTATTTGATAAAAATGGTGTCTTCACAAAACGAATAGATCATGAAGATGATGGAATAGCTATCCCATTAGGAATCACTGTAATTTCCAATAGGCCAAGAAGAGTAGCAGTAGCAAACCACAAACCAAATAATGTTAAAATGTTTAACTATTAAAACGACATTGAAATACATGACTTATTAGCTTCATGCAGAGAACCACAAATCTGCAAGTACGAGACTTCTGAAAACCACACCCCTGCATCCCTCTCCCCATACCCCTGCATCCCTCTCCCCATACCCCATTACAGAAAAACCAATACAAACCTATCACACTGACATGAGCTGCGTGAGTGGCAGCTGGCACTGTGTAGGTGTTCTTTGATCATATCCACCAGGCTTTATTAAACGACATCACATACTTTTAGTGCATCTAGTTTTAATATCTAATTGAAAATATATACTGTAATATGTGAGGGAAGTTCTTGGAATTTCACAGATGCTCATCAAAATGTATACAAGCATGAGAAAAGATATTACATGAGAATCCATATAAATAATGGATTGGACCATGTTGAATTTTGAGTTGGTTTTGGTATGATTTGTTACTGGTATTCTTACAATTTCTTCAATTAACAAAATATTAATAAAATGTCTAAATGTTTTGGTAACATGCTTCTATGTCATTCTTTGAGTATTAAAGGAGAGGTTTACCAATTTTATATACGATAATTTGAAAAATGATTTAGCATACTCAGTTAAATAATATCCCACTTTTGAAATTATAAATATTGTGCACCCTCCTTTACGTAGATGCTCAAAACAAGATTTGTGATGATTTTGCAGGTGCATCTCTCCATCAAAGTTTGCCGCCAGGCCACTGTAAAGCACAGGTTTAGTATGATTCCTAGATGAGGTCTTCATATTATTGCTATCCTTGTATTCCTATTAAACTAATATCGAATGGCTTAGACATAGATTTAAAAAGCACTGAACATTGCAGAGTGAAGAGAAAACGAGAAACATACAGTAGGCCTATCTAATGTCTATATGTATAGTTTAGCATTACACTCTCATTGGTTTCCACACCTTTCCTACTATCAATAGCCAAATTCCTAGCTTTTTTAGTTAGCTAAGTTCATATCCCAACTGAATATATTAAGTTCATATTTTATTATTTTTTTTTAATTGCTATTTATGGTATAGAATCATGTGGCCTTTTTGACTGAATTTCGTTTATATTGTATTTGGGCCAATGGACTATATGCTTAATAAATGTCTTAGGTATTATTTTACCTAGGAACGAACGAACGAACGAACGACTGGAAACATTTCACTTTAGTTTTTGCTTTACTTTCTAATATGGGTTAAACATTGGTCAAACATCATCATTTACTCGCTAAAACATTGTACTTAGCAATTCATCCTCAATGGATTCCAACCCTTTCATATTAGTGGCTAACTTCCTTACTTACATATAGTCCTTATTGATACTTTGCAATCATGCAGTCTTTGCTCTGCCAACATTTTACTTTCAATTGATATTATGTGAATGGTTTTTCTTTTAGCAGGCCAATCTTCAGGCAATCTTAATAAATGTATGTTATAGCCTCTTAAAACCATGTTTAATATTGCGGGAAGCATGCCGGAATGATTAGCGGCCTAAATCTTTTCACCCAGCACCTGTCTGTGTGATTCATTTTGACAAAATGGCTAGTATTAGCAGTTTAAAAATTGAAATATGATTGCACCAAATTGTATTAAGAGCAAGCTAGAAATTACTATGGTAAGCGGTAAGGTGTTAAGTAGTGCATTGGTAAATGATCAGACAGAAACCCATGCCGACAAGCTTACCAATATCGTATTGTGTTATTGGAGCTCTGTCTAAAAGGAGCTGAAAAGATACTTATGGTTTCATGTAATATTAAATTTTAGATTTTTCAAACCATAACAGAGTATAAATACTTTAAAAAAAGAACATATAAAACTAATGTAATGTTTGAAAAAAATATGGCACCACTGTGTAAAGTATGAACAATATTAAATTATTAATCATTTGTGGATGAAGATTATCAATGAGTCCAAAAATATCATTGTATCCCAAGATGATGCCATGTGTGCGTGCCATACGTCGAGTCTGTCTCAAACACCTTTACAACAGTATATGCAACATATAATCCCAGACACATTTATATCTGTTGTAGGAAGATTAATTGTTATGGATTATGAACAGTTGTTGGATGATTTACCTTTGTATTATTTAAATTAGCAGCATCTAGTCCCCAGGTATTCAACCGTTTTAAGCTGGGGGTCAGTTCCAATCTGTTGAGACCAGTGGCGGTCCGACATATATTGTGTACTTCCATTTTTCTATGTCAGCTCCACCCATTTTCTTTTATAGCAGTGGATTCGAAATAGAAGGGGGCCAGGGAAGAAAATATACCCCCTTAGCCCCACCATGGTTGGAGCTAAGGTAAAAAATAATTATTATTAAGATGGTCAGAAATGGCAGTCTCAGACTTAAATTTAAATATAATTTTCTTTTCTTTTCCATTTTATTTTAGAATTTAAAAACAAAAAACTTGCACTCTAGGTTCTCCTACCCTACTCACTAGCCTAGAAATTATCCTACAGCACAAAAATATCTACTCACCAGTGGTTGGGGTTGAGGTGAGCGAATTTTTAACATAGATGGTACTTCTAGATTCCTGGAAATGGCACTACCAAAACATAGTTTTCAAAGCAATGTTTTCAACAGAATACATGCCCCCCTGATTCTACGGGTGCTGCAAAAGGTAGACATCGCATCATATCAGCGCCCGACTTAATCCATTAGTCTCTCTTCCATGTCAATACCCTATGCTACAGTGAGCTACACTTAAGAAAAGTCACTCTTGTAGACAATGCAATAGTAAGAATGGTGCCTATGTGGTGTTTATATAAATAGAAAAGCTTTTTTTCATAAGAGTAAAAGAACATGTGACCAACCATGGTGGTGCTGAGGTGAATGTGGACTCACAACTGACCCTCCCCCCAACCAGATCTGTGCCCTTGGGAGTGTGGAGAAAGTACATAATTATAATAGAGTGAATTTTCTTAACTTCAGACAAGAGAGGGCAGTCTATAATGTCTAATGTAGTCAGTATAATTCATTCTTTAAAAATACATTGACACATTGCTTGGGCAATTTAATGCAGTCTACATCTATAAACATTAAAGAATTAATAGGTAAAGAATATAGTCACAAATGGAAACTCATAAATTGCTTTTCACCAGTTGGCATTGTATTTTCTATGCTCTGTTTACAATGCCTACTTATAATATTAGACAACCCAGCAGATGTTTAGGCCAAAAACCAGGAAAAGGAAATATCAATTATTTCAAAAAAAATGTGTGATGGAAAAATATTGAATATGATAAAACAATATTTTTTTTTTAATCAACAATATTATAATACCCTTTACCACCTGCAAGCTTATAACAGTATGGCCCTACTTGTGAAATGGTTTTATGTTTAAAGGTATATTTTCTATCTCAATCTTTTTATTCTAATACAATTTTATTAAGGTAAAGAAACGTATTGCTCAAGCATACTGAAACATATCAAATAAGGAGCAGTCTGAATAAACTTCTAACCACCCAAATAAGGCCAAATGAAAAAAAATATTGTGTTGGCCACGCCCGACCGCCACGCCCGACCGACCCAATTTTTATGAAATTCAGGGTCGGCATAGTTTGTTTTTTTTTTTTGTTTTTTTTTACAAGGATATTTTTTTTTACAAGGAACAATATTTTTTTTTCATGAGCTAATAAGGCTGAGATATCCTTGGCCTAAGCTAGCTGGCCAAGGCCTAGCCTATTTTGGTGCACTGTACACAATGCAAATCCAAAATTGTATTATTTTGTATATTTTCTACTTTTTAAGCGTCAACACATTTTTGGTTTAAAAAAAAAAAAAAAAAAAGTTTTCCTACCGACCTACCCATTTTTTGGATTTTCCCAAAATGTTACCAACACAAAAAAAAATATCTTTTTTGGCCTAATGCTCTTTGGCAGGTTTGTAGCCAGAGTTTATTATATGAAATATTTGAACATTTTGTCTCTTGTGCAATATACAATTTGCGGATTATTTTCTTTTTTTCTCCCTTTTTGATACTACTTTTGTACAATTTAATATTTTACTTTTGTTTATAATCTTGACTTTAAGAAAACTGGACCATTTCAAAAGCAGAACTGCGTTACTGAAAATGTTATCCAGCCAAAAAAAAAAAAAAAATACCAGTAAATAAATAAATTCAAAATATCAACTAAATTAAATTAATGGGCTATTGACCATTGAATGAAATGAATAATTTTAAGTAGTGCAAGAGTGGCTAAAAAATTAAGAGTAACAATAATTTAAGTACCAATGAAATTAGTAAACCCAGCTGTTGAAATCATTAATTGCTAATAGGTGAAGGTTTCTCTACTTAGGAGTTGCTCGTTAAAATTAATAATATATATCTAGATAAGAACAAAGGCTACAAATGATTATAACAATTTTATCTATCATTTGGCAACGATACGTTGCTGTTGAATGGTGAACAAATAAAATTTTAAAAAATAAAAATAAAATGACCATTGAGGTGCAAGCAGGCCTGGCAGTGGCGTATCCAGGGATTTTGAAATGGAGGATGCTGGATCGAAATATTACATCCATTCATTGAACTTTACGGAAGGAAGCAGGGGTGGCACCAGTGGGGGGGGGGCCCTGTGTGGCCAGAGCCTCCCGTCAAAAATTCTCATAGCACATATAAGGAAGCTCTTAATTCATGCGCTGTACATAAATTTAAATAAAACAGAATAAGTAAACTGGATCTTAAAATGTCTGACTGCTGACAGGATAAATGAATTGTTTAACTGGTTAGTCTTTACTTTAGGGTGGATGTAAATTATTAGCATTGACCATAACTATGTAGATGTTATCATGTTCCCAGGGGTCCAGCTAATAATTGGAACAGCACAAATAATTTGACAGTTGAATCCTCTAAGAAACTGACCGAATTATATTTGTATGATAGCGAAATATGGGACAACCCTTCAAAGTGTAGTAGGATTAATTGTGTCTCATCAGGGGCGGATCCAGAGTTATCCGAAAGGGGGGGGAAGCCCCAATCCAGAAAAAACACCACACTAGGGGTTCCAGCATTCTCCCGAAAAATGTTTGTTTTCTAGATGCCTACAAATAACCTTTGAGGCATTTTGGGCGATCACTAATTTTTTTTTCTTATTATTTT